GTCAGGCATTACGGGCACCGTGCGGTCATTAGTCGTTGTTTATCCTCTGAATTACTGCTTCTGTTGTTGTCCTAGTGGGCTTCTAGCGTTTGAATTAAATTTGATAACACTGGTGATTTTGTACCCATTTGGAATAAATCAAACCCACGTGTTACTGCACGTGGCTCACTTGGACAGGAGACCCATTTGGAATAAATCAAACCCATGTGTTACTGCACGTGGCTCACTTGGACAGGAGACCCATTTGGAATAGGGCAAACCAAATAAATTTAATCATGCGAGGCCTGACCCTATATAACCACGAGGCCTGACCCTATATAACCACGAGGCCTGACCCTGCATAATCATGATGACTGACCCCATGTTTTAGTGATTAAAGCTCTCATCGTTGATTTACAACAATTTTAAGGCGAACAAGATTTCCCATTTTTGTTTCCAAATTTTTTTACAAATTAATTTAAAAAAAATTGTTTTTGTTTTTTCCAAAGACTCAATTGGACAGATCCTCATTGTAACTTTGTTACGGACTGTCCGCAAATTAGCGAACGTGGGGCAGCCGCGATCCCAACTGTATTTACAACATTTTTAAACTTAATTTCATTTTCATTTGCATTCATCGCCGGGTATGCGAGCTACGACCGGTAACCCATTCAATCAGTGGCGTTGTGAATTCCTTCCCCTATTCCAACGCCTCACTCTGCGCATGGCCTGTGCCATAAACATTTCCGACCTTCTTATACTACGGGGGCACAGGGAGAGCGATTTTCAAATTATGGTTCCTTTCCTCAAATCATTTGCTGCAGACATCGCTTCTTAAAGTCAACACATTACATTTTTTTTTTAAGTAATAATAATAACTTTAATTTTACCTTCATGAGCCCCCACCCCGCAACACCCCCCCCCCCCCACCCAACCCTTTTATTTTTATTTGGACTCCTCATTAACATACAGGTGCACGAGCTCGCACGGGCGTTTAGTCACGTGACGAAATCAAGTCTTAGATTTGCTGACGGGCGCCATGTACATTTTTAATAAAGTAAATATGTTTTTAATGAATGACCTACCAGACTTAAAAGTAGTGTCAGTACCTCATCATTACATTTCTCTACATTATAAATGTGTGTCTGACATGTACGGTATTTGACAGGTACGGTATTTGACGGGTACGGTATTTGAAGGGTACGGTATTTGTCGGGTACGGTATTTGAAGGGTACGGTATTTGAAAGGTACGGTATTTGACAGGTACGGTATTTGACAGGTACGGTATTTGACGGGTACGGTATTTGAAAGGTGCGGTATTTGACAGGTACGGTATTTGACAGGTACGGTATTTGACAGGTACGGTATTTGAAAGTTGAAATCAAAGATGCCTCTTGAGGTCAAGGCTGGGCCAGAATTGAAAGAATCAAAGACCAAGTACATATGCATTGTGTGCAACACAACAGACAAACGAAAGATGACAATAGGATACACACTGACAGACATTATTGACAGAGTGGACACGTTCCAATATACGATACCTGGCAGAATGAAAGCGACCGCTCCTATTTCATTGCAGCCTAATAAACAAAAGTGACTTGGAAAGCAGAAACCTCTCATTTAAGAGTGGGGGGGGGGGGCCCCTCCAGTACCCTTAACTTCAAATACCAGTCTTGATAATTATAACTGAGACATGGAGACTGGCTAAGAAACCCAAAAATCTGATCTATACCTGGAGAAAAAAACATGGAAAGCAGAAACCCCTCATTTAAGAGTGGGTGGGGGGGGGTCCCTCCAGTACACTTAACTTCAAATACCAGTCTTGATGATTATAACTGAGACATGGAGACTGGCTAAGAAAGCCGAAAATCTGCTCTATACCTGGGGAAAAAAACATCCTGAAGACGAATGGGGAATTCGGGTATATCAACAACAAAAAAAGTATATATATACCATTACGAAGGCACGACAAAAGTCATGGCAACTAAAGAAGGAACGCTGCGCTGGATTGGACACCTCGAGATGATGCCAGAATTTATGAAGGAGCAAAAGTGGTTTACAGACAGCAGCAAGGTGAAAAACAATTCAGTTGAGAGCCAACCAACCTCTGATAGGGGAGACAACCTGCCTATGGTAAGGGAGTCAACGGGCGTCTGATAAGGGAGTCATTCAACCAACCTCTGATAGTGGAATCACCCAACCTCTGATAGGGGAGATACCCAACCTTAGATAGGGGAGTCACCCAACCTTAGATAGGGGAGTCACCCAACCTTAGATAGGGGAGTCACCCAACCTCTGATAAGGGAGTGAAACAGCCTCTAATAGGAGAGACAAGCAGCCTCTGATAGGGAAGTCACCCAACCTCTGATAGGGGAGTCGCCAAATCTCTGATAGGGGAGTGAAACAGCCTCTGATAGGGGAGTCAACCAACCTCTGATAGGGGAGTCACCCAACCTCTGGTAGAGGAGTCACCCAACCTCTGATAAGGGAGTCAACCAACCTCTGATAGGGGAGTCGCCAAACCTCTGATATGGGAGTGAAACAGCCTCTGATAGGGGAGTGAAACAGCCTCTTATAGGGGAGTCAACCATCATCTGATAAGAGAGTCAACCAACTAATTGGAAGGAAGGCAGCGAGCCCCTTTCCAGAATTTATTTAATAAATTATAAAATGCAAGGGTGCATTTTGGAGCGTATCTGAAATTAGTTGGCTAATGTTTTTAAATGTAGTTGGCTTATTTTTTTTTTTAAACTTAGTTGGCTAATGTGTTTAAATTTAGTTGGCTAATGTTTTCAAATTTAGTTTGGCAAATGGTTTCACATTTAGTTTGGCTAATGTTTCTTAAATTTAGTTTGGTTAATATTTTAAAATTAAGTTTGGCAAATGTTTTTAAATTTTGTTGATTTATTTGTTAAAACTACGTTGTTATGAAATTAATTCTAAGACAAGTTCAGTCTACGAAATGACACTATTACCTGACGTCTACATAACACGATAGTTTTTGTGGAATTGTTTACTGTAGAATAATCTCTAATGCTTCACCATTATTTTTTTTATTCTTCCATCGTTCTATAAACTAGGTATAAATAAAAATAAGATTTGTAGAACTAAGCCAATGTATGTTGAGAGACCCAATGTATGTTGTGAGGCCCAATGTCATATAATAGTAAGTATCCATTCTTGGATAATATTATTATTAATAACATTATCCTCCGCATCTCTTAATCTATTAAGGTATTTACCTTTATTTTTGTTGCATTGCAGGGAAGAAAATACCGCTCCTAATATACAAAAAACAAAATTACCAACCGTTGCTGAATCCCCCCACCACCAAACCTTTCCTCCCCCACCCCTAAACCCTTTCCTTCCCCCCACCCCTCTCTAACACCAGTAAGTATAAGATTGCTGAGTTGGTTGAAATGATCACTCATTGTTCTTTCAATTTTTACATTGAGCTGTTAGTGTTTCAAGACTTATGGCCTAATTAGGACGGTCGCTGTCATGTCTCATAATATAAACCCCATGAAAAAATATGGTTACAAATGCCATTAGAATTGTAGTTATTCTCTATAGAATTCAAAAATTTAAAAAAAAAAAAATATTTCCTGAGGACCATTATGTTGATCTATGAGTCCCTGAGGCAAGTTCCGTCCCTCAGTTGTTAAATAGCACACAATCCTGGAGATGGTTTGGACAAAATGTTCTCTGGTTGGCGCTAATGGCGTCCTTATTGGTCAATAATTGCATCGTCTGGAGAAACCACTGATATCCGATTAGCAGCCATTAGAAGAATAAGACCGCAGTAAATTATAGTCATGGCATCGGCGGCAACCGACACACCATTGCTTGATAAGAGAGAGGGGGGGGGGAGAAGGGGAAAAACACGAAAGAAAGGCGGGGCTTATCCTCTCCCCCCTAAGAAATGTCCCATCATTGTTCTCATTATATTATAGTACCTCCCGCAAAGAATGATTTTTACCGCTGCCACCTTTCTCCTGCTTCCATTTCTATTCCCCTGCATTTAGTCGGCCTTTATACGACGTCCTTACGCCCCAGCTCCGGCCCATCTCCCTTCCCAAATATCTCGAAACGCTTCATGTATTTGTTCAGCCAGTCTAAGGCCCCCGATAAGACTCTAAAGATGAGCATGAGAGCGCGTGCGTTATGTCTTGAAGACCTGGTTGCGCACCGTCTATTGTCCCGGCTGCACCTTGAAAAAGGGGGGGGGGGGCCTGTCGGGAACCTGCCTCTTAAAAAAAAATAATAATAAAATAAAAAATCACCGAATTTCGAGCTCGTCCAATGCTGACTACGAGCCCACGTCTTTGTCTACCAAGTCTTGGCGTCGTCGAACGACGCTTGGTGCCTTAAATAGCCCAAGCCGAAGGAAGCTTCACCATTCAAGATTTCAATAAGGCAAAGATTACGACAGCTATATGGAAGAAGTGGACTAGGATCCGATGTTTCAAACCCGTATTTTTTCAGAAACCATTTTAAGAAAAGTGTCTTTTTAAATCAGGTTTTATACTGTTATAGCAGTTCTTCATTTGCGCAGGATTTGAGACGAAGTAGAACATTTGATTGGTTGTAAGTTGCAATTATTTTTTAAATTAAAAAATTCACAAGAAGTTTTTACATTCTGAATTTGCATAGATGTCTAAATATCTACAAAGATTCAATACGCGGTCACATGAAGTGAACAATTTAACTCATGATTTCAGTTATTGCTTTTCCGTTACAACTTTTTAATACACCGTAGTATCGTGTGCTGTCAGACTTATTCACTGTTATGGATGTTTTAGGTGCACCGTTGACATAACATTACACGCTGTGGACTAATTGGATTGTGACCATGTCCATGTCGGACAATGCTCTACTCCACCCATGTGGTCATCATATACAACCGTACGGACTGGCTCAGTACATCTCTGTCAAAACTGAGAATGACGTGGCTTATTGCCAACAAGCTTCCAGTCAATATCGCGTGGACAGTTTTTCGGTCAGCCCCCAAGGCTACTCGTCGTGCATGTACGCCAGCAGCGTGTCGCCTTGTTCACAGTCGATGGTCTCGCCGGATCTGTGCGGAAGCGCCGTCGGGTCCTACAAGGAGAACAGCAGCCTAAGGAGCAGCCCGGCGTGCAGGAGGAGACTCGACTTCAACCACAATGCATTCGTTGATGTCTCCAAGCTGGGCCCCGGGACCGTGGCCAAACGCAACGAGCGGGAGAGAAACCGGGTGAAGCTCATCAACATGACCTTCCACACCCTCAGGCAGCACCTTCCCCTGCACGGGGGCGGAACGAAGGGAAAGTCGAGGAAGCTAAGCAAAGTGCAGACTCTGAGATCGGCCATCGACTACATACGACAGCTGCAGGACCTGATCCACGCCAAACACAAGCAGATCGGATTTACCACAAGACTACCCGCGTGCGGCACGCCCGTGGACTCCAAGGAAGAGATAAGACAAAACTACCAGGAGTTTGGCTCAAGGACGGCGTGCAGCAGTGACAAGGACCGGTACCTGTTGTGTCAGTCGCCGTGCCACGACATGGTGGCCGCGTGCTCCCTGGACCAGGTGAACAAACGGGACGTGACGTCGCCGCTGTGCCACAAGGACAAAACGGATTCGCCAATGACCACTTGCTCAAACGAAGCATCGCCTTTCTCGGACGCGTCCTACGACGTCATCTCCGGCCACAATGACGACGAATTGGTTGATTTTGTCGACTGGTTTTAGGGAGGTAAGACATTCAAGCAATCTCTGGCATAGTAGAAGAAAAACAGCTCATCGTCTTTTTTTTTTCATTGGTCATACAGTATTTAAAATATGTTTTTTGCAATCACATATGACCAGAAATTGACATATATCACAGCCGTACACGTTCAATGGTTTACTGTTGTATTATAATTAAAGTCAAGAGCTAGTCATTGGTATTTAATTTAAGTAAAATATTCAAGGCTTAACTTTCTTCATGAAATGCTCTTTGTGTAGCTTTAGGTTAGCGGCTAAATGGGCTAAATTAATTGCACCGGTTCATCGTTATGACACTCATGTTAACCAAATACGCTTGTTTGTACAATGTGTGCAGGGAAGGGTCTAGTAAATTGTAAAGTGGTAACGGAATGCCACGTAGGATTCAAATCACGTGCGGGGATCATCAGCAAACCCTCGAACCAAAGAAAACCAACATGAATTTCGTAATTGTATAGACACTTTTGTAGAGATTACAGTGTTGGGTGTGTGGGGCGAGGGGTGAGTAGGGAATGCACACTTATTTCAACACTAAAAAAAAACGTTAAAAATAAAACCAACGTCCGTGATGTGTTCCTTTCGTTTAAAGTGACGATGACGTTTATGTAACTGACTTCAAACACAAAGGAGTGAAGTTCATTGAATAATGACTGGGCATGGCAGCAAAGCAGTTCCAATGTTGTCATAACACTTTGACATCAGTAGTGTAGCTGAATGGCTATTATAACAGTTTGAAATTAGTAGTTGCAGGACAATGGCTATTATAACAGTTTGAAATTAGTAGTTGCAGGACAATGGCTATTATAACAGTTTGAAATTAGTAGTTGCAGGACAATGGCTATTATAACAGTTTGAAATTAGTAGTTGCAGGTCAATGGCTATTATAACAGTTTGAAATTAGTAGTTGCAGGTCAATGGCTATTATAACAGTTTGAACTTAGTAGTTGCAGGTCAATGGCTATTATAACAGTTTGAACTTAGTATTGCAGCTGAATGGCTATTATAACAGTTTGAACTTAGTAGTTGCAGGTCAATGGCTATTAATACGATAACAGTTTGAAATCAGCAGTGCAGACGAATGCCTATTATAACAGTTTGAACTTAACAGTTAAGCTGAATGGTTATCATAATAGTTTGAACTTTGACACCATTTGTGGCTTCCCTTTCCCGTCATATTTTTAGATTGACCAACAACTGCAGTCAGCCTTTACAAAAGGGAGGGGTTGGGGGAGGGGGTGGGGGAGTGAATGTGACCATATGTTTGTAAATAGTCATTTTTGCTTATCACTAAAAGCAAGAATATTTATATATACAGGAATATATATTATATATATATCCTTGGAGCAAGATACAATGTTGTGCTTTACTTCATTATAAAACTTAAACATTTTGGACGCAAGGAGGTGGGGTTCAAACCCCAGGACTTCCTCGGCCAGTTACACCCCTATATGTATAGTGTATATGTGTAGTCGATATATATATATATATATATATATATATATATGTGTGTGTGTGTGTGTATATATATATGTGTGTGTATATATATATATATATATATATATATATATATATATATATATATATATATGTGTGTGTGTGTATATATATATATATGTGTGTGTGTATATATATATATATATATATATATATATATATATATATATATATATGTGTGTGTGTGTATATATCTATATCTATATAATAAAAATCGGCAATAGCTGTAATTCGTTGTCCAGCAATTTTCAATAATGTTGCATTAACAGTTTGTGGGTTTTTTTTGTTTTGTTTTTTTATACAGATGAGTGATTAAACCCTTAAAAGAACATCAATGGGCGTCAGCAGGTGATGCAAGCATGTGACCATGTAACTTCATTTTGATTGGCCAAGTCTCCCGACGGGGCACGCGCCACTTGAAAGCTCTTGAATAGTGATAATGCATGATTTAATTTACAACTTTAAAATTGTATGTTTCGCTTTCTACTCGGTGCTATGCATCGGTGCTTACCAAGAGCTGGAGAAATAAAGAAAATGAAGAACCCAAACCGCCTCACCCCCCCCCCCTAATTTTTTTCCCCTTCTCCCGTTTTATTTCAAAGACCCAAACATAATTATTGGCATATGATTATATTAATTTTTTTTTTTATTTTTTNCTTACCAAGAGCTGGAGAAATAAAGAATATGAAGAACCCAAACCGCCCCACCCCCCCCCCCTAATTTTTTTCCCCTTCTCCCGTTTTATTTCAAAGACCCAAAAATAATTATTGGCATATGATTATATGAATTTTTTTTTTTATGTTTTAGGGGCACAAATATATATACACGGAGTAACTACCTTAAAGTATTACAATGTCTTTGATATACATACGTTTTAAAGTATGGGTTGCCCTTTAAAGTAAAACAGTCATTTAGCGTTCATTGAATGACTACATTTCGTCTTGATCAGTAGTTTTAAAATGGAAAGTCTTTGCATACATTTAAACGAAACAAAAATTATTATAATTATTACATAATGGCATGCCGCTGATCGGGTAAAACTAAAAAAAAAGGCGAATATTTTTGAAAAATAATTTTCCTCTTTGCTCACAAACGTTAAAGAAACCCAACGCCTCATTGGCGACCAGCTGTAATAACGAGGCTTCTATAGGACGTGGCGCTAGTTAGCGATTCTCAAATTACACAGGGCCAACTTAAATTCCCAACAAAAAATTGGCGTGGAATAATAGAAAAGTGAAGAAAATTGTTTTTTATTTTTGACCTGTTGACTATTAGGCATTTTCAGAGTGGATACCACGCAGGGCGAACCAAGATTTTTGACACGCTTCCTCGGGGAAAAAAAAAATGTCTTCACTTGGCCGAAAATGCCACCTGACAATATTAGAAATAAGGGCCACCCGTGGAGGACTGGCCTCCTACACACAATCCTTCCTAGGTCACTTCTGTTAGGTTTAGCTACTCCGTTGCACGAACACGCACGCTTCTTTAAAGATGACATATGCTTTTCATTATTATTCACACACACACACACAAAATAGATTATTTTTTGTGAATATTCTTTGCCCAGGTCAATGCAGACTTGACTGATGAACATTTCTAGTGAAAAAGTTAGTGTTTATTTATTTGCTTCTTTGAATGGATGCGTTCTTGAGCGTAGGCCGACATGTAATGACTTCATGTACAGTAATAATGGGAAAGTCTGCCATCATTCATATTTTAAAAAAGGAGATAGAAATAAATAAAATAAATTTTTTAAACGAAAAATATGCCGGGGGGGGGAGGAGGGGGGATTTTGTTGGTTGCTGCCAATCTAGACGAACATAAATGTAGGAAACCTCTTCAACTTGTGGAATTCATTTAAAATATCGGATCTGAAACTCAGTCCCGATTATGTGTTGTGAGGCTGATTATTTAATTCACAACTGTTAGTATTTCCAAGTGTAAGGGAAGCTAATCAAATACATTAATTTTGATAGAGGTCCCCCCGAAAATGGATTGACTAGGAGCCTCCACGTGGTCTCCATAATCCAGCACTGAGTGTTGTCATAGTTAATTTATGTTTATTTCCATGCGTATACATGTCGTCATGTTGTCTCCCCTTACGTAAGGGTTATTGACGTCATGTTTCCTAGGGCGGGGGTCGGAAACCTTTTGAGATGGAAGAGACAAGAGTTACAATTTACAAAATTTCCCAGTTTTTAAAGAGCCACTAACATTTTTATTTCAATATAATTATTAATATTTTCGCATGGAACTGGAGAGCCGCATCTTGAAATCAAGAGAGCCGCAGGTTGCCGACCCCTGGCCTAGGGAGCTCGAGATTTGTTCAAACAATGCACACCACCCCTCTCTCGATTGTTTGACAGCACTGCTTCTGTTTTTTGACTATTCACAAGACTGAATTATATTTAATTAATGCATGTTGTATACATCGCTGATAATGATGTCAAATTTGTTTTTGTAATAACAAATTTTTTTTAATGATTTGTATAAAAAGTATGTTATTTATTTATTTATATATGCATTTTAAGCAATTAACATGAGGGCATACCAAAATAAAATTAAACTTTCTTGGTTATTTATTATTATAATTATGTGCTTCCAGTTTAATGTGTAGAATGTAAGTGCTTGATGGGTAAGTCCGAAAACCAATATGTCAACATTCATCGTAATAAATTGCTTTTAAAGTAAAGTCAATGAAATATATCTATAAAAATATAAAACTAAACTTGCGGATTAACAAAATATGCAAGCTTCCAATCTCGTAGACTGTCACCCTCATTTAGTTGAAAGATGAAATGGACAAAAATGTATATGGATTCATTTGGTTTTCAAACAATTTACATAGGCCTACATGTTAGATAAATTTATAAATGAAATAGAAATATTATTTTTAATGTTTATAAATAAAAATAAAACACACATCAATTAGCAAGAGAAAGCAGGTTGAAAAACGTTCGAATAGAACATATACTTGTAATAGAACATATCATTGCTACATTCTGATAACTAAATCTTTGATTATATTGCATTAAATGTGCTCATTCCACTCTTCAAGCTGATTCATAATTAAAACAACTTTCGTGTTTTGACAAAAAAAATAATGAAATCACAGCACTGTGCTGCCATACAAGATAGAAGGACTGACTCCGTACGCGATGTGAACTAGATGTTGGTTGATAAGTGACGCTTGCAAAAAACATTGTTTCATCATTACTTGTTTACTCAATCTGCTCAATTAGTCGATATTGCTGTTAGCATTACATTGCTCATTTACTCAAATTGCTCAGTCTAAATATTGCTGTAAGTCTAATATTGCTCAAATAGAATAATATCGGTAAATGTTTTGCTCAACGCTCCTCCAGGATCCAGTCTAACCTTGCACCATTTATAAGTTATGGTTTTGATTAATATGAGTTGTGCTGTAAAGACTATTTCCAAAGACTAATATAAGTTGTACTGTAAAGACTATTTATAACGACTAATATAAGTTGTACTGTAAAGATTATTTACAACGACTAATATAAGTTGTGTTGTAAAGACTTTAAGACTAATATAAGTTGTGATGTAAAGACTATTTTTAATGACTAACATAAGTTGTGCTGTTAAGAGTATTTACAATGTTCATTGATGTTTCTTTGTAGGCTTTTATTTGACATGTACTTAAATGTATGAAACTTACATTGAATAAATTGTGCAATAAAGAAATCTCATGATTAAAACCTTTATCTTTAAGTGTTAGACAACCTCTTTGTGGTGCTTCTCTGAGACACTGTTTATGACAAACTCATTGTGGTGCTTCTCTGAGACACTATTTATGACAAACTCATTGTGGTGCTTCTCATATGACTGTGATGTGGTCAAACAAATGTTTGACGATGTGTGATGACTGATGTGGTCACACAAATGATTGATAATGTGTGATGACTGTCATGTGGTCTAACGATGTGCAATGACTGTGATGTTGTCACACAAATGTTTGACGATGTGTGATGTCTGTGATGTGGTCACACAAATGTTTGACGTTGTGTGATGACTGTGATGTGGTCACACCAATGTTTGAGATGTGTGATGTGGTCACACAAATGTTTGACGATGTGTGATGTTTGTGATGTGGTCACACAAATGTTTGACAATGTGTGATGACTGTGATGTGGTCACACAAAGTTTGATGTGTGATGACTGTGATGTGGACACACAAAGTTTGATGTGTGATGACTGTGATGTGGTCACACAAATGTTTGATGATGTGTGATGACTGTGATTTGGTCACACCAATGTTTGATGATGTGTGATGTGGTCACACAAATGTTTTATGATGTGTGATGACTGTGATTTGGTCACACCAATGTTTGATGATGTGTGATGTGGTCACACAAATGTTTGATGATGTGTGATGACTGTGATTTGGTCACACCAAAGTTTGATGATGTGTGATGTGGTCACACAAATGTTTTATGATGTGTGATGACTGTGATTTGGTCACAGCAATGTTTGATGATGTGTGATATGGTCACACAAATGTTTGACAATGTGTGATCAAAGTTTATACTTTATGTTATACTATTTTAATTTTTCGGGGGATGGATAAAAATGCAACCAAAATATCATGAAGTAATTTATGCATGATCCCTAAGACATGTTTAACATGTGCACTTCACTATAAGCAATGTGTTTACATACATATACTAAACACTTCAGTTCAAGTACAAGCCATCTGTGCACAAACATATACACTTTACTACAAGCAATCAGTACACAGACTTATACCCTTCGCCTTCACTACAAAAAAAAACAATATATGGTCATTGATGTTTTTCTGCAATGTTTTACCCTGGAAGTCATTGATGCAATTTATGGTTATGCATACCTGCAGAGTTTTCCCCTCATACTTGAGCCTTATTTATCATTGGATCTGTTTTGCCTTTCACAAAACTAAGATACAATACAATCATAAACTTATAAGGTTTGATAAAGATGAAGGCACAGCACATCTTCAAAAAATAAAAATATAACAAACAACCAAACAGACTCGGCTACAACAGCAGTGTTAAGTGTAAGACAAGATCATTTATCACAAGTTGGTTAAAATAAATTTATTTCTTAATATAACAATTTCAATACAGTAAAAAGTCACGAACAGCAAGATTATTCAATATATTTAATTTACATTTCCCAGATTCATCAGTCTTTTCATATTGATACAATATAAAACCACCAAATGATGAGTCAGAATATTAATATGTATAGTATTCTTACAGGCATGAGATACCATACATTCATGAAATATATTTTATGTACATGCTTTAATACACATTTGACAAATTGCCATCAATTTCTGTTATTGGTGCTCTGAAACTTTTTCTCACAAAGACACACTTAGGGACTTCCAAGAATTCTGTGGCACACCACACCAAAAAAACTATTGCAGAGTTCAGAGAATATAGCAATAAAATTAAGAAATACTGATTTCAAGGTTTGAATGCAGGGTAGAATTTTTTTTAAATGTTGCAAATAAACATGTAATATATTTAAAGCAAACAATTGTCTTGAATAATGGCATGTATTTATCTTCATGCACATACCACAATATACTCCTAGCATTTCCTGTTTGGTTGTGGAGCTCTGCCTTACATCACTGCTAAACTCAGATGCTAATCAAACCAACCCTAAAAATCAAAGTTTTTCATATAAATCCTTTATGATATATGTATCTTTTAAATGATTTTATTTTATATTAATAAACATCCCACCCACTTTGAAAGCCCTGATTTACTTCACCAACTATTTTAGAAAAACAAAATATAATGCTGAAAATTTGAAAGATGGGTGTTCTCATTGGCAACAAGTCTATGTGCCAAGTTTCAGCTCGATAGGTTGTCAGGAAGTGGGTCTATTAGCCGTCTGAATATTTTGCCGCCCAGCCAGAATGAAACGCACAAAAAATTTAAAAAAATAAAAAAGATTTTAAAATGTTCAGAATTATCGAGAGCAATTTAAAACTTACTCATGAAGCATAGCACACACTTACTTTTGCAATTAAAATTCAAATAGAAAGCAGTTATTTCTTATTTGCACCCATGCGAGTGGCTTATGAGTCAGATCCTTGCATTGCAGTCTGTGGTTGAGTTATATAGCACTAATGACAATGCAGCCCACCCCCCCCCCCCAACCAACATTCATAAACTATCCAACCATCATTTTAAAGTTACCGCATCCATTGCATATAAACATTTTAAAGCTAAGTCTCACATTTCAAATAGCCGGCATCCTCAAAACCAATCTTATCCATAAAATAGGATTACAATTACTCGGACACACAGACGAGGCTTAAATGGTTCAAAGCAAAAATTAAGTGAGGATGCTCCTAGTTTGGAAATAGAAAGATAATAGTTTAAAGGACAACATCTGAATTCTGTCATTTATAATATAAATTACAGTATCCAGATATTTGTTTGAAAGAAATTTCGTAGATGGAAAATCGATTGATGTAAATTTGATCGAACGGAAGTTTGGTTGAATCTTTTTTCCCACTCACACGTTAAAATTTTGCTTCAAATTTCTTTTTGAACGCACTATTTTGTTTTACTTGTAATATAGAGCATTCAAAAAGAAAATTTGATTGTGTGAACTGAAAAAATAATTAGACCAAACTTCCGTCAATCAACTTTCTTTCAACGAAATTTCTTTCAAACAAATTTCCGGTAACCATAAATTATAATCCACTGCTACTTTAAGCGTCGATTACATTTTGTATCGCAGTTTGCATTTTTCTCATTCACCCCAAAAATTATTTCCTTTGATTATTCATTCAAAAATCAACCTTGTCATGCCCTATTCTAATTACTAACCAGTTAGAATTTCTGATTTGGTCTTATAATGGATTCTGTCTAACAACAAAGGTTTCCTTAAGTTAAATAGTCTTTCTGAAATTCAGTTCATTGATAATCAAAATCACTTTAAAATATAAAAAAAAGTTAGTGCGTCTAATAATGAAAAAAAATGGAGTTAGAGAAAGGAAACGCAGGTTGACCGCTGAAGGGAAACCATGGTGATGGCTTTGTGAAAATAAGCTACATAACAATGATGGCTAAGTAATCTTAGCATGCCAAAGATTAGCTCTACAGTTAATATATAAATGTAATACAATAGTAGTACATAATGTTCTGAAATATCACTCAAATGTAAAGGCATGATCTACAATAATCCAAACAAAACTTTAAAAAAAGTAGATCAGAGTTGCCCTCAAATTTTCAAACTGCCATTCTCAGACCCAATAGATGCAATTAAAAAACCATCTATGAAACATTAGCGTCACTTTAAGATGTATGATTTTTCAATCAAGATAAACCTACACTACAAATTTAAATTTTCATTGAACAAAATTGTACATTATAGATTCTTTTAATCTTCCTGACTTTGAGATACAAATATTATTTCTGTAATCAATGGTTTAGAGCAGGGGTCGGGAACCTGTGGCTTTTTCATGTGGCTCTTCAATACTTAAATATTTAAAAGCTTCTGTGGTGTTATGGTCGATATAAATAGAATTACTACAATTAATATAATAAATGTGAATCAGAGTTTAAAGATGCTTTTTTTTAAAACCCTAACAAATAAAATAATGTGGCTCTTCAATTTTTTAAACTACCGGTAGATTAAAAAAATTAATATTTGGCTCTTTTCCATGAAAAGGTTTTCAACAACTCGGATCTCAACAAAAAGTACATTAAATAAAAAACATAACTTAAAAAATGTCTATTATAATAATTAATCCGATCTTTACTAATCTAACTTCTATTTAAACTTCATTTTGAAATGTTCCTTCAAACATTCAAAAAAAAGTGGTGTGATGTTTTTCTGAAGGGAAATGCCAAGGGAAATAACCTCATAAATTGTGGGGACAGGGAACTAGGAAATGGAAACTGGAAGAAACTGGTTAAATGCAAATTAAAAATTTAATAAATAATGTTAAAATTGCAATTATTTAAATTTGGGTAAAAAGACAGCTTTTTATACAACTTATTCTTGTTTGCCAAATTGGTTATTCCCTCGTACCTTTAATATCACAATCTGTCTTTTGAATCTTTGTCTTCCTCCTCATCTTCTTGAGACATCACCATTGTAATATTTCCTGCTCCTGATGCTGATGGTGGCCAAGAAACATTGTACGTCCCCTGTTTAGCAAAAAAAAAAAACATTAAAAAAATTTTTTTAGCATAAAGTATCATCAAATGGGTATCCATTGTTTAATTCAGCCTCATCTTGAATCATCAATGGTTGAAATGCAACTAAAATTTATATAAATTCTAGAGTGATACAAGAATTTTATAAATTGTTTGACAGAATTGAAACTAAATAAAATTAACTTGTGTTAATTTCCTTAGGGTCAGTTCCCAAATAACATAAGGAAATCTAAATAGAAACAGGTTTATTTATATGAGACATTAATGAGTAAGCGTTTATTTAAGACCCAATGACACTGGTTAACAGCAAGAAACAAGTAGTGAAAGCATTCAGAAATTCCTTGCCTTCTGGGGTTTATAAAAAGTCAGACATGGAAATGCCAGTTACCAACAGTGAAAATGTCAACCACTTTAAATGTTTACACTTCAGAAACTTATGGATGATACATTTGCCAAGTCAAACAGATCCTGATTAGCATTTTTATTTTAAAAATTCTCCTGGTCCTCCAGCATCGAGTAGCATGTTGGTTATCAATTAATATTTACTTCATTGCCTACTGCTTTTTGCAAAGCCAACACCAAATTTTATACAAGGTTCTTACAAAATAACTTTCTGAAAACAATGCTTGCCCTTAAAGTCAAGAGAAAGTTGACTCTCAGAAAAAGGAATAGACCAAAATGTCAAGAGAGTTGTTTCAATCAAAAGATTACAGGCTTTGATGTTCTGAAATCAAAAGCTTATGTCACATTGCACAAAAATAATGCTTCTAAATTAGGAAGATTTACTTTCACACATATCTGTCACTAAACAACATTTCCCCCATATATTCTTGACATGGCTCATCACACTTCAACAAGTCAATTCTATGCACAATCCCCTCTATGCACAGTCAATTAAATAGTTAACATCTTAGATTTCTTAGGTCTAATTGTTTTATGCCATAAGTAATTGATGATGGCACTCTACACTACAATACATATACCTGTATATACAATACCTGTATACCCCCAAACTCTTAAAATCGTACAATATTCAATACATTATCTTAATAGTAAAAAATGAACATAGTACGCCAAAATCGTAAGAGTAAACAGGTCGGCATATAATGTATTTGTAACGTTTTAGAAAGCCTCATCACAGATCATAGCCTGGACCTATGATGAATGAATAAATCAAATACTATTTAATATCAGTACCTTATCATCAGTAAGAACAGTAACGGTGTCCATCTTCTCATGTATATCAGCCCTTGTCAGTGCCTGATGAACCAATATTTCTCTTTGGGCTCTCTCTTCCATCCTCGCTCGTGTTATATTCATCTGAGCTTCCATTCTGCTTGCATTTAAAGCCTTAGAAAATATATTGAGTAATTGTTAAAAAGAATAAGCAATTTTAAAGATTGTAGAAACAGAATATACAATTGTGGTAAGGATTGAAGGAACAGAATAAACAATCATAAGGATTGAAGGAACAGAATTGGCAATATTAAGGATTGAAGGAACCACACAAAATTTAAAATATGTTTATCTTTTAACTAGAATATGTTGCCAAATAAAATATCAAGAATTTTCTAGAAAGTAAATTTTGCAAGAAAAAATTTAAATCTAGGTACAGATCCACCCACCACCCTTTCTTTTCACCCAACCACCCTCAATAACACTAATAACACTCTCAATAAGATCAACCCTAATAGTACTGATTGGACTGAGACAAAAATCTTTGCCATGCCCATGAAATTATATCGAAGTAAAAAAAACACATACTTAAAAAGTTCAGTAATTTTTCTAAAATTTACACAATTGTAGAGTGATACAATGAACTAATTATAAGGGTGTTGGATTCTGATACAGCTTTCAAGCAGATTAATGAGACACAAACAATTTGTGTCAATAAAACAATATGGATTAACCATTAATAATGATTACACAAAATACAAATGCAAATGTTTTAGCAAATGTCTTCATCGGTCAAAAAAATCATTAGTATAAGTAAGTATAAATTAAATTTACACAATAATCCAGATTGATTACAAGAATTTTATAATCATTTGACATAATTGAAACTAAATTTAAAAAAGCTTTTGTTATTTTCCTATATCAAGATTAAATTCTACTTGCATCTTGTTTTTCCTTTTCAAATTGAGCCCTCTGAATCTGTAAAGCGTTGTCCTTGGCTATCAAACTTTGTTGCTTAACTTGCTCTATCATTATTTTTAATTGCTGTGCCTGCTGAAGTAAGTTGTTTGCCATCTGAAAAAAAAAAAAAAAAAAAAAAAATTTTAAAAAATATCTGTAAAGCGTTGTCCTTGGCTATCAAACTTTGTTGCTTAACTTGCTCTATCATTATTTTTAATTTCTGTGCCTGCTGAAGTAAGTTGTTTGCCATCTAAAAAAAAAAAAAAAAAAAAAAAAATTTTAAAAATACACACATGCATACATATGTTGAGACATGTCCCCTGAAAAGAAAAAAATTAAAAGGCTTCTTGATAACACCAAGCGAGCAGAGCAATTTTTCAAGTTCAAATTTTGGTCAAGTCCACAACTTCTGTGAAAAATAGGCCAACTGCATTATGTGTGACTTGAGAAAAATCAAAGGCTAAGGGAGTAAGCCATACAGATAGAGCTGGAGATGAAACAAAATCTTTCATGCAAGCTTCAGCAGTATTTGTTTTAAAGCCATGCAATGCATCTACCAACATAACCTTGAGATAAAGGACGCAGCCAATGGTGTCGATAAGGGTAAATGATTGACACAAAAAGCTTGTAAAACTTTAGGTCAACTTTATATCAACACCTAAAATATCAAAATTTATTTTATTCATGTTTTAAAATTTTTAAAACGTAAAAGATGCAATACTCTAAATAATAAAAACCTCAAACTCTTTAATACCATTATTTGGTTAAAAGAAACCAACCTCCTCAAGCTGCCACCAGTTTTTCTGTTCTGTTACATCCATTGTAACAATTTGGTTTTGCTTTTGATTGGGTTGGGCAATGGCTATTGGGGTCATAACCACAGCATCTGCATTAAATAAAATATTGCAATTAATTTATGTTTTTGCTTGGTTTTGTTTTAAAACTTGTACATACAAAATGTATTCTTACATGCTGGATTCAATGACCCATATCATAAAATATCAGACCTGACATTGTCTGCACATGCACTGTAGACTCTTTTTTTAATGATTGGTGCAAAGTTTGTCTTAGTTATTAATTCATTATGCAGTGAATATTTCAGTGTTAAAATTTACTCATAAGTTACATAGCATCTAATTTATTCATAAGTTACATAGCATCTAATTTATTCATTTACTATTTTGTGGTAAGGGCTGTTTTAGAAGAGGTGATATACTTGCGATGGCCTTCTGTTCCACAGACTTCAGGTAAGTTTCATCATGTGGTCCCACAATAGTCATTCCATATAGACACCCACCTCCTGATACGAAATTCCCTTGGGCATCAGTGGCCACTATATGCACCATTTCTCCTTTATTGTCTGGTGTGTGGTGAAGTGACACACTCTGAACAGTGGCTGTGGTTGGTATTCCACCATGCCCTTGTACAACTGGAACCATCACTTGGGTAGCATCTAAATTTAAACCATATTTTAAAGGAAATGGGACACAACATTAAAAAAACAACAAAAAAAAAACAGCGGTCTATGAAATACAATAAATTCACTGAAAAATAGTTAAAACTGTATAAATTGTCTTTCCAAACTGAGAGAAAATAAGTATGTGAGACTAAGTATTTTTAATATTTCAAAAAAATAACTTTTTAAGAGGTAAAAAAAAAAATTGTTTTAAAAAGCCATTGAGAAAATAAGAAATCCCATGAAACATGGTTCTTTAGGATATCAAGCGATGAGTAGTTGCATCAATTACTTTGCAGAGTAATTTTATTTGTGTCTAAATGTTATGGTTGTTAGCATTATTAATTTTTCACTTTGAAAGTTTTAGATTACAAGGTCAAGGCTGTAAACAGTTTTGATACATACTTTGGTCGATTTCAATTTTAGGTACAGCCAGTCCCAGTTGAGGAGTTATAGGGGATTTAAGGGTAACAGATGGTAATCTTGGTTTCTTGTTGGGTGACAACATAGGCTCTGGTTCACTATCTTTCTTTCTTCGTTTATAAGGCACAAACAAACGGACAGGTCCGGTCTGAAATTTAGTTGAAATGTCGAGTTATTAAAAAAAAAAAAAGACATATCCACGAGCATTCATTTAAAAATAAAAAGCCACGTTTATACATTTAATTTGTAAGGCTTATTAATTATCACTCCTCCCTCTATTATTTATCTGACCACAAACCTGGAGAAAAAAATGAATATATTAACATAACTTACCACTGCTTCATCATCACAACATGATGCACAAGTGCAGGATGTAGCATGTGGTTGCAAAATGTTATCCTCAATAAGACACTGTAGAGTTCTACCACCATATCTTATACTACGCTTCCAATCTTTGCTACTAGCTCTCCCAGCAGTAGCTTCAAATTCATTTGGGGTGTACCATTCATTGTCAGAACTTTTAATACATTTTCCACGACCACCTGCAGGTATAATTATATTCATTCATGAAACAAAAGCAAACTAATTAGAGCTGCAGCAGATTTCATAGTTAATATACCGTACTTGTTACTGCTAGTGGTGACAAATAGGGAAACAGAAACTAACCATCTCATTAGCCAAAAACAAAGGTCAATACGACCCACTGAAATAATAAGAATATGTTTATGAAAATGTTTGTTTAATTTAAATATTGTTTTGTTTTTTCCTGTTTCTTTTTGCAATAAAATATGATATGTGCAGTGTGCTTAGGAATGCATTCATTTTTTTGGTAAACTTCAGTTCAGCCCCTAACAGAGTCTGGGGGACAGTGAAATGGCCTCCCTATTTAAAGATATATTAGGTTCAGTCTTTAGAATGTCTGTTAGTAGTTAGTTTTCCTGTAAATACTAAATTGCAGCATATTTTAACTTCTTGACTTAGCCTGTCCATTTCAATAATTCATACTGTTTGTTGTGATTATATTTATGCCCTATGCTAAGGGCTGAGTATAGATTATGGCAAAAATTAATTATCAAATAATCGGCTAAAAATAATAGGCGGATCAATTAATAAAATTCTTTTAGTCTACTCAGTACTCATACTAAATAACCAGTCTGATGTTGGCCTACACTTCTAACAGCCTAGAGTTTAACAACACACTAAGTCCAAGTGTAAGCCTAAATAAAATTAGATTTGGGATTTATGCAGTCCTAACAAGATGTAGATTAATAAGCAGTGGTGCGTGTGTGTATGTGGGGTGGGTCCCCCTCACAGCGGCACTTTTTTCTTTATATTACAAGAAATAACCTGCTGAAAATAAAACAATAATGGCCTCTGCAATGTGTGAAATTACCATCTACTAAAGTTAATTGACAAAGCCAAAGCATGCATTCAAGAAACACACTTTATAATTATCCCGATTGGGGCTAACTTCTTGGAATTTATGGAGGCTAAAAATCTTCCCCCCCCCCCCCCCGGCACCAACCCTAAGCCTATGAAAAAATAAAGATAAAGGCCTAGCTAGTACTACTTCTACTAGTAACTAGGCTAACTAGGTACTTAACCAGTCCATTACCACTGACGTCAACATGACGTCACGATCACCCACTTTCAATTATCAAGGACATCACATTTTGGTCATAATAAAGAGGCAAAGAACTTCGTCACGTCGATGTCATATTTCAATGCTATATATTTCTTTATTCGTTAATTTATAGAAGTTATTAATTTTTTTTTATTTTAAAAAGTAGGTGCTTAGGCTTAGTTAGGTAATAAATAGTTGGCCCTTGTTTCTGACTCTGATAGACTACGTTGCTGTAACCAAGTACTGACATATGTGCAACGGTGTGGGAAACGATGCAGCTATCCTAACGGCTCCTAGTGGGTGCCAGGACAGCCTTGAAACTCTCAATTGATTTCGAGTCCACGGCGGCATTGTCCAGTTGGTTCCAAGCAATTATTGTTCGTGGGAAGAATGACTGTTAATAATGAACTGTTTTACACAGAGGCACAGTGAAGCATTTATCATTGTTCCGGATATAACTGTTCATGGCGTTGTCAGAGGTGAAGTCAGTGTTTATTGAGTGTTTGGCTCTGATTAAGCGACCTGGCTTCTGCGGGGTTAGATACGTGGTAGCTGGAATGGCTGGCACCAGCCCCGTGACCACTTTATAGAGAAATGTAATTGTTTTGTAATTCACTACTCACACAAAGTCTAAGTAAGTCAGTTCAGTAAGCTAGCATAATTATTTAAAATCTGTAATTATTAGGGCATTAGGGTTAGACTAGAACTATTAGCTCATTCATATAGGCCTGATAAAATAGTTAAATAATACTAATTTAAACTAATTAGTTGCATTTGATGGTTTTGGTCGGGCCAGGGCTAAACTAATAACACTACAGTCATTAGTATTGATTAGTAGTAATAGTAATAATAATAATAACTTATGTACAATTGGATTTTGTGTTCAATAGTTCAACGTTTACACTTTAATATTAAAAATATTTGAGATAAAGTGAAAGTAGGACAAAAAATATGAGTACCAGATCCAAATTTAGATTTGTAGAGTTCTCCGTTTGTGTGTTTACACCTGACAGGAAGAATCTCATTGTGGACCGAATCGTCCCACTGATACCGAAATCCTTTATCTTCCTTACTTAGGGGTGTAGCTGGGGTTGACGGGGGCAGCGGTGTTGTTGGTGTTTTTAAACCACCACCCCCTTCTGCTAATTGATCAAGAGTCTGGTCATGAATTACAATATGAGTAGTTTTAATACCGCCATTTGATGCTTCTTGAAATTGCTGTGCGCTTATAAGTCCTTGTGAAGTAGCAACAAATACATGATCAGCTGTTAGAGCAGTGCCAGGGGAAGACACGGTAACTGTTGATGTTTCTGGCGGAGTCTCCGAACCATGCTGATGCTCGTCAACGAATGCAGAATCGTCACCATTCGGGAGATCTCCGGCAATATCAGCTTCAGTCATCGCCAAATAAATATCTTAAAGATATGGTTCAAAGCTGACATCCTGGCATGAAATATAACAAGGATATTTCGAGATTTATAATGAAAGGCTGGAATTATTATCGTATTCTTCGGAAGTGTGTAACTTAACAAATTTTAAGACTGTCCTCACGGAAATATCCGTTGATTAACGAAATATGGCGGAGAAATCGACCGGAGAGGGTGAAGGTTGTTTCTTTTTAACTAGTGTAGTCTCGACCCAAAATGATTACTTTTTAAGTTTAAATATAAATTAACTAATGAAAATACACATTTAATTTTTAGTTGAACTGGTTTAACTTATATATAGATTATTAAAAAATATACAAATAAAAAGAGTTTTAATTATTTCAGATGAATTTATTCGTTTGCATTGAGGCTATCACCACACAACACAAATGGCGTAAACATGGCGCTGTCTCGCGAAGAACCTAGGATTTTTACTGTGAGTATTATTCATGTCACGATCATGACATAATCGTTTTAACCTAAATTACTGAATAATGAGACATACTTCTTGCTTAAAACAGTACTAAGCTAACCTTAAAGATATACTTTAAAAAGTCAAGGCAAATTTGGCAAAAAGTAAGAAAAGCCAAAAGTAATATTATAAAACTTGTTGTTATCAAGCCTGAGTCTTGATTACTCAACCACTTGAAGACATGAATGAAACTCATAACCTCATATCCAGAAATCTGGCAGGAGGAAGAAATGCCAAAAGTAAAGAATTGGGATAATTTGCGGCAGTGTGATTGTAATCTCAATTCACAAAAAAGGATCTAAGCCTTCTGACAGGCTCAGAACGGCGGTCCAAAATGAGACATGATTCGAATGTCAATACTTTTTTACCGGTATGTTAAAAAGGGTTAAACTCCGGTATTGCTTCTGTAAATACAAAGGCTACTTAGATAGACGGCACCCACTACCATATCACGAACGTAATTTTGTGGATCCTGATGACAGCGAAGTGCGTACACAGAACATCGAAAACATGTGGATGACAGCGAAGCGGAAGTTTAGAAGAAAATTTAGAACTAGTCGTGCATTGTTTCTGTCATATATGCGAGAATTCACCTATCTAAACCAGTTAGGCGCACAGACATGTTTCCAAACTTCCTGATTACGCTTGTCGAGAACTATCCGTATATTACAGTCTTTTGTGGTTCTGAGTAGAGTGGTGCTTTAAATAAACTTGAAACTGTTTTAACTACAACTTTGTTGGGTGTATTTTCATGTTATTAAAGCTGTTTTAAGTCTATTTTAATGTTATTAATTACCGACGCTATATCAGAGTTTTACCTTAGAAAGTACCAGGTTACCAGCCTAATAGCCGCCGATAATTGTTGGTGACGTAATTAACTTCTAATTTTGTTAGCAGACAAATTTTGCTTGTAATAATTATTTAATAAAATGTAAAATAATACAAAATAAACAACTCAATGGCTGGCAGACCGCAGGCAAGTGCTGGTTCTAATTTCAGGAAACATACTGCGAACTTATGACACTATGCCGAAGGCACTGCTGTATCACTATATGACAGCAAGCTTTGACTTAGGTTAGTGCAGCATGCAGAATACCGTCTAGGAAACAGCAATTCAACAAAGATAACTTTTGTTTTTATCTCGCATTTTTCTTTCTTTTTCTTTTTTTTTTGTGTTTGTTCTAGGACATGTTTATGAAGAGGCTGATGAAGATTGCCATCTTCAATCAAATTCATAAATTAAATTAGGTCATTAGACTTAAACAATTGCAACAGCAATTATCTGCGGCTTTTAGGGTGGTAGCCGTAAACTTAGAAACGAAAATATTTTTACTTGAAATTTTGGAGTGCCGAAATCTCTCTACTTAATGTAAATTTCAACATACTCACTAGACTAAACTAATAGCTTGAAAACTGGTAAGGTATGGTGATGAGATACTAGGGGACATCAATGTGGATTTTTACAGTTGGTGATCAACCACAGATCATATCTTAAACATGAGATGTCTTCTCGAGAAATGCTATGAATACAACATCCCCATACACCATCCATGTGTGGACTAAAAAACAGCTTATGATAGCCTAGACAGGCAGGAAGTATCTTGAAGCATTATAGGATGGATGGATAGGCCTACATATGATGCTAACTTAAAAAAAGTAATATCAAAATACAGGGAGAGTACTAAGGGGATTCTCAATTAATCAGGGCCTTAGGTAAGGTGACTCTCTATCATGTATCCTGTTCAACATCACATTAGATAAGGTTATGAGAAACATACGTTTGAGCACCTGTGGAACTATAACAAACTACTTCCAGAGAAGCAGAACCACAACCAGCAGTAACTTAATATAGCCACCCTTTGCAGTACCTGTCATATGCTGAGCATAGTTCTCTTGGCAGAAATGGTAATAATATAATTAAAGCATTAAGGGAGCTCGAAGCTGGTTTGGACGAGAATGAATGGGTTTCAATTCCGAGATTCTGTTGCTGTTTTAGTTTTCATTTAGTTTCCTGTTTAGGATTTCATTCTAAAAAGCAGTTATATATATATATATGTAAAAGTGTCCTTAAATTTCAATTAAAATATGGAAAAATTGACTTGTGTTAATTTTGACAAGTCCTGACATTTCTTGTCCAAATAGCATGTTTAAAAATGGAATTTGGTTTCTGTACCTCTCTAAATGTGACAAGTTTTCCCTATTTTACAAGACTCTGTAAAAACCAAATTTAGATATGGCGAAATGCACTTTTGGTCATGTGACAGAAAATGTAATTTCCACTTCTGCAATTTTAAAAATGTTTTTGAATGATGCAAGAAGCCAGTATAGGAGCTGCTCATTCCTGCCCAAGACAATCAGGGACTGGAACCATCTTTCAAAAGGAACAGTTGAGGCGACAACACTAGACACATTTGTGTCTATTGCCTCAAGCCTTCAAACCCCTTTCAAACCCCTAGTGCATAATTTCCTCATCACCACCAGTAACAGAAACATTGCAAATCCCATCTACATGCATAGGAGCCAAAATGATCAATAAATTGATCGTGGGCCCTTAAGATATAGAAGAAGAAGAAAGACCTAGCTATATAATAAAATTGTGAATAACAAAATTGGACTTACAAGTTTAAAGAGTGTATGATTTACTGCTTTAAACATTATTAAGTGCTATTAAGCAGCTGTTGTACACATTTTTTTTTCATGTGACTTTTCTACTTTTAATGCCCAAGCAAACATCATCATGATTAGCGAGAGTAAGATCATGAGTTAAGATTTTTTAAATGCTAGTTATTTTCATCTTTGTATAATCCAGGCCTGTTAAATACATTATTGCCCTTTTTTTTCAATATACTTGAAGAAAGCAATCGGCGGCAAAATATTTGACCTATTAAGCATAGGTCACAAAGCTGTTTAAATAATAAAAATTTTAATCAAGTTTAAATTCATGTAAGAGAAACTTTTAAAATGTTTCCACCTGCTGGCATTTATTTAAAAAAGTTGTCTATGCTTTTTATCTGATGGTGCAGGTACTGGGTGTTGGAAAGTTTGGGGAGGATGAAAATCAGCTCATTCAAGCACCAGAAGAGGAAGAAGAGTTTGATGTTTTGAATGATGAAACCTTTGGAGATCTTGGTGAAGGTTACTGCAAAATTAAAAAATAAACTCTGTTAAATTTGCTAATTATTTCTCTAAAGATTGTTTATTGCAAACATAAAACTTTATTCACGTTAGGAAACACCTGGATAGACATTTGGACCGGATACCGAATCTGAGTATTTTATGAGTACTATAATTTGCCATATATGAGTACTATCTGTACATTATTCATGATGAAACTTACTGCAAATGAAGCATATAATTCCATGTCTACTTATTTTGTGATATTCTATTCCATTAATAATTTAATACAAATTAAGGAAATAAATATTTTTAAAATAAAAATGACGAAATCTTTTAGATTATATTTATAATGAATTATGGTCATACAGATGCAAGTATGCTAATAATATCCCTTCATAGGGGCGCTGCTAACATTATTGGTGTTATACGCAGTTACTGTGCATGCTTGATCGCTGAATAGTTGCATAGGCATAGGCATTAGTATCATATACCGGTAATGAAAAATTTCTAAAACATGCATATAATGCAAGCCCAGACTAACACACTTTATGTCCACATGGCGCATAGTGTAAAAAAAAAAAAGAAAAACCAACTTCTATTCACATGAGGGTGCTGTGATAAATAATTTTATAAGGCGGTAAACTCCAGAACTTTTTAAAGTCAAAAGATATTGGCTTAACTTATTTAATATAAATACATGAATCTATACTACTAATTCTACGGTTGGCCTAATTAACAGATTAATTATAATCATTTATAATTAACATCTAAATTGCTATCAACTTCATTATCTGAATCCATCTTTTTTTTAAAAGTACTATTGATCTGTGGAAGAAAAAAAAAACACCCTAAAATTTGAAAAAAATCGAGCTTTAAACAAGTTGTTTTCATTTTAAAATTGTGATTTATCCATTTGGGAAATATGTATGTATTTAAAAATCCGTACGCGGTAGTAGGTAATGTTATATCATGGGGAGATTAAGTTTTTTCATTCTTTCTGGGTTTTGGTGGGAAATGAACTCCAATCCTCCGGTAGTAATAGTAGTATTTGTTGAGGTGAATAGTTGAAAATTAGGGGATATTCAGCTGAGACAAATGTTCGAGATGATTTCCAGTTGATCCCTGCGTGTAACCTAAAATAAATTAGACAACAGTCTTTTTTAATTTTTTTATTATCCATGTCTTTTAATATGTAAGTAGAATTACTAGTTTTCCATTATAATTTAATAACATTTAAAATTTTAGTTGCTGATTATGACTGGGAAGATGCTACAAAACGTTTGGCAGAAGAATTGGGAGGATCTTCCCTTCCACTTCATGTTGGCGAGCAGACTCGAGACTCTGGTTTCATCACAATGGATAAAGGATATGCTTCTGTTACACAGGAAGTATGTTGTTTTTTATCTCTCCATTATTTGCTTCTTTCAGTTACTTCTCACTTACAACTCACTGTGAATTTATTTTTGCTATAAATATAGTTTTATATTTAAAGTTTGGAGTGAGTTTTATCTTAATTTTTAAAAAAAAATTAAATGGTTTGTTGAATGTAATTTGGAGTAAATATTTTGTAAGTGGGAAAGTTATT